CTGACCAGACCTCATCAGTGCTGTCTGCGCCCTCCAGGATGCTGGCACAGCAAACAGCAGGGAGGCTTCAGCCAAGCTCTGGCAGCAGACAAAACCTGTATTAGTTTGTTGCGCACTAAATTGCCAAAAAAGGGATAACGGGATGTAGAATGTATATTTAGAGTCACCCACTGTTTCGGCACGTGTTCCACTGCAACAGAATCCAGCATCTGCTGCTGAAGTTGAAAACTGTCAGCATTCACATTTGGCACAGAAGTAACTTTGCATCTGTGGACTGCAGTGAAACCAGAGGTCCCAGACGTGAAAAACATGCACTTATGAGAAGGAACTGCACGTTTCACCTTGGAATATCAACAGCCTTGTGCACTTACAAAGGAAAACACACAATTACAGCTTAAAAAATGCCAGAAACATTTTGTAAATAAAACTTCATTGCTCTTAAAAATAATACTGTGTCAGTTCCAACTCTGGCTGAAGCCTGCTAGGCATGGACTGCAAGGTAAGAACATGTAGCACGCTGCTTCTGAACATGCTAGGAGGCCGAGTGGAAGAGTCTTCGCAAAGGAACGTGGCAAATAAAGGTAAGACATATGAAAACATACACAGGAACACAGTCTAGGAGACCTAGGCAATTCCAAAACTCTGCTTGCAATGATGTGCTGCTGTTGGCCGTATGGAAATCATCTGACAGCAGCTGCAGCATAGGAGTTAGTCATCAATAGTTGGCAACCAGAAGGCCTACAAAAGAGGAAAGTAAGAAGATCTTTTACAGAGCAGAACACAAATCTCTCTACAGCACATGGTAGGAGCTGGTCGCTGCAATCTTCTGTAAGCACACAGGCAGACTACCAAAGAGGCAGCAACACCCTCCCAGCAGTTTAAGGTTAGAATCCTTGCTCACACTGGTTTGGTTTGCATTGCACGTTCTCCAGAGCAAGCCAGCCTTACACAAACTGAAAGTATCAGCCATGTACAGTAAGAACTCATACTTCTGCATGCACATTCACTCGCTGCTCTGCTTTCACCTCGTGTGTTCAAATGTTGGCTTGCCAGGTGTGCTGCCCCACATATCTACCTGCCGGGTAAGGCGCAATCAAGGTGCGACAGACAGGGACCTGGCTCTCGCCAAGGCCCAACGAAATACCCATCAGTGGCACTGAGCCTTCTCAGATTCACTTCTAAAAAGGTCAGCACCTCACTAAGCTAGGAGGAACTTAAAACACTTTCCTTACCATATTGGAACATGCACTAGCAAAAGTCATGAATTTTGGATTGAACTGCAGACAGGTTATAGGACCTGTGTGCTTTCCATCCAGCACAGCCACCTTCATCCCGCTTTCCCCGTTCCAAACATGAATCTTCCCATCCTCCGAACCTGCAGGCAGGAATAGAACAAGATCGCAAGATACATTGCAGAGGCCAGCTGAGAAAATGAAGTATATAACCTTTTCTGTCAGAGAACTATAGGAACAAGCATGCCTCGTCTTCATAGCTTAACCTTTAAAATTCTCAAAGTATCACTGGGGCATTTACAAAACATGACCAGACTTTACACACCTGTATCTGAACAGCAGGTTTATATCTTTACACTGTAGAGACTCAACTATGCAACACAGTGCAACCGTAGTCTGGCAAAGAGGTTAACAACTACAGTCACCCAGTAGAAAAGGAGAGCTGACACCATCCAACTAAGGAGAAAGGACCCTTGCCAACTTGCACGGATGTGCGAGAGGCCAAAAGCTGGGCCTAAGAGTCACTGTTCACACAAGCTGTCGGTTCAGACACAGAAGGAGATTAGTATTTCACTTGGTAGGCACAGAATCAAATCAAAGGCTTTACCACTGAAGGTAACCAGATTTCAATGCACTATGCCAAATATCAGAAACTTCACTGGAGGTGTCAGCTCTCTACACTGCTACAACAGGACAAGTTTTTCACTTCAAAATGGCGTTTTGCAAACTCTGAGGTTGGGCACTTAACACTTCTGTAATTCAATTCTGCTTTACTCTCATTTTAGATAGGATTCCTAATAAAAATGCAAGGAATTTTATTCTGCTTCTGTATTTGTATGTATAGCCTTTCAGGGAGGAAAAATTAAGAAGCACAAGTTACAAATTAACCATAGGTAAAAACTGAACAGAAAGAAGTGTTTTGGAACTTCTTCCACTACAGTTTTCAGTCAGAAGGGCACAACAGGAAGGTAAATACGTGCAGTAAAGTGCTCTCCAGAGACAGGCTAAACAAAGAACACACAACCCCTTCTCTGCAGTCCGGAAGTTTTCAGTCAGAACAGGAAAAAAAAAAAAAAAAAAAAAAAATTTTTGCCAAGACCATCAGTCATCCAGGAAAAATGAGGATCAGGATACCAATTACCACAAAGTAAAACATATTTGATGTACCGGCCATATAAATAAGAACAAAAAGAAAGTGCTAGGAGAGGGCAGCACCACACAAATGCATCTGACATGTTCACAGGTCCTGCTGGGCAGCAGAGTGACCGAAGCGCTTACCTTGGGGCGCCCAACCTGCAGCACCAGGCTTTACAGGAGCTGCAACTGCTTTTTGCCACCCACTTCACTCAAGGGTCTCTCCTGCAGGGGGTGAGGAAGAGTGCCTAGGCCACAGGAATCATGCTGGAAGCCATCAGGCTGATGCCTACTGCTTCCATCAGGGGTTAAGCAGAGCTTGTTCCACAGGCATGGGGATTTACAAGAGCCGTGTGAACAAAATGCGGCTGCCCCAGGACATCACCAGTGCAGGAATGTCCCTGGGAGGTGTACAAACGCACCAGGCTACGAGACCAATCACCCAAGCACAGACAGGTGCCTTGCTCATCGGGTAATGGAGGACAGGGCACAACATACTTTCAGAGGCAGCACATGAGCGCATCCTAGCCACAGGGTAAGGACCACTGACGTAAGTTATGTGACAGATCTACACACATTGCAATGGTTTGCCAGTTTCTTTTTTTTTTGGAATAGTGTTCATATACAAAGGAAAAACTAAAAGTCTTCTTGCAGGTTCATTTACATCTCAGTCTAGAAAACGCTGAGTAAACCAATGAAACAGAAAACTGTCAATGCAAAGAGAGCTTACAGCTGCATTGTATTATTTAAATACATTCTGCTTCCCAAAACAGACACAACTTTAGTCCTACATAACACACCTAATTTCAGAGCACTGAAATTCTGTCAAGAAGAATTCTTACCTATCATGATGAACTGAGAGTCTGGTGTGAACGATGCCTCCAACGTGACAGCCTTACTGTTATTATAACCCTATGGCACAAAACAGGAGAATATGTAGTAGAGAGTGTGTCCTCAGTAATCTCATAATCAAAGGGCACCTGCTCCCAAAACGAACACCAAGTTTCAAGCAGGTAACACAGGCAACGTGCTCACCCCAAACGTATGCAGGACAGCTCCTTTAAAGGCATCAATCAGTCGAATGAACCCTCCATTAGTCGATATGAGGATGAGTTTGCCATCATTACTGAATTTCAGGCCTGTCCACTCACACGTTCGGTCATACTGCATCTTAAACGTAGCAAATGGCCCCTTCGAATAAAAAAAATGGAGAATACGATGCAGACTCTGTATGCATTGTTGTTAACAAGAGTCTGCTTTTAAACTTAGCTCAGGAAAAACTTTAAGGTTTTTCAAAATAAAACGTTTAGTCCTAAGATACCAAAGGAAAGTGTCATGGCAAAAACATGTCACCACATGTGTAACACTCAAAGAAGTATGAATCCATAGTTGCCATAGCAAGAGAGCGCCACAGTAGGGTGTTTCAATACCCGATAGTCCCATACTCTACCACATTCAACAGCAGAAATTAATTTAAGGTAGCATGAAGTTTTCAAACAAGTCTGATAATTGAAGTTAGAGAAAGAGCTTGAACCAGTGTTATTGTCAGCTGACCTTTTGAAAACCATGGAACTAACTACGCTCAGCGCGTAGCCAGTTCAGATGCCCACCCAACTAGATTCCTTTGAAATTTCCATCCTTTCTGAAAATTCTGGCTCCATCTTTGCCACTGTTCTTCCAGAATAAGCAGCAAGGAAAAAAAAACCAAAACCAAAACCAAAACACCAAAACCCAACAACAACAAAAAGCCTAAACAGGAGTTTGGAACAGGTTAAAGAGTTTGCAGAAGTAAACTTTAACATTGGTTCAAGAGTGGATTTCAGGATCTGGTGACAGCCTGTACCCCTCTCTGTGAGATGTGTACTTACCAAAAACTCTCTAAGTACAAAGTAGGCACCCCAAATAGTTAATTTGGAGTAAACAAATCTATTCTCTGAGCACTGAGTTTAGACTACTTCTTGCAAGCTAAAAAGTCTAAGTGAAGTTAGGGTAGCTCACCTTGTCAAAAGAACGGAGATCATAAAGCTTCACCATTTCAGAATTTACCCCAGCAGCAAAAATCAAGCCTTCTGGGTCAAAAGAACACACAGGCTTCCCCTGGAGATGCATTAAACCCTAGAAAATAGAAATAGTCCAAATTATGTTGCAAAACTGATGCTCACATTTCTACCACCACTCTTTGAGCCCACTGTGAGCAGGACAGCAACCTATGCGTGGAGCAACTGAATTTCAATTGTAAACACTGAGGTTTTACAAAGGAACTCAGCTTCTCAAAAGCAACTCTGACTACTTCAGGCCATCATATGGAGCCTCCAGTTTGCTGCAGTGACAAAGTTTACATCAGACCAAATCAAGACCTCATTTGAGCTGTCATCCACTCAAAAGTACCCAGAAAAGGGAGGATGATGTGGCTGTATTAATAACCATACTAGACAGCGCCACAAAACACTGCCACTGGGATTGATAGCAACACTCTACCAGTTATGATTGCAGGGGGGTAAGTATTTTGGAAGCAAGTAGAAACAGCTCCAGTGAACACCACTGCTGAGCTTTCCATGCCTGTTTGAAGAAAACTCATACCTTCTGGAAGCCAACAAACCTTACATTAAAACTGACAGGTCACTATCAATGCTTATTTTTAATGTTAACTTTTCCTTAACTCACACAGTAGAAGAAACTTGAGAAACTTTGGTAAAATTTGGTAAAAGCCAAGAAGACATAGAATCTTCTGTATCTTGACTGTCAGATCTGTACATGTTAGTCAGATGTGTCTATGTAACTGTATGCACATAAATAAGAACACATCCTTAATTAAATCAACAACACATTTAAGAAGTTTCTGCATTTCTGAAATACCGTTCTGCTCTAGACTTTACTACTTCTCGCTTCTTTCCAAGGAAGGTCAGTTTTGCCTGTGATCTCCAAAGGCTCGGCAGTAAGCGGGCCAACACTCAGGGCCCTCGCAAAACCTCCCTGGTTTCCCGATAATATTTCTAGACATTACGGCTGCCATCTCATGGGCAAAATGAAAATTACATGTAACACTTCAACCTGTTTCCCAGTCTTTGCTGGATGCAGCTTCCAGTTAACAAGTCCTAGTTTTACCATTCTTTATCACTTCAGGCATTAGCATAAATCACAGAACTGCTACTGCATTTACAACCCCATCTCATTTGTAGCAACTTTGAGATTCATCCCAAAGGAAACTTCCACACTGGCTTTAAAGGCATACTCCCAGAGAAAGGCAGAATTTAAATTGCTTGTCTGAAAAAGCTTGGTTTTAAGACAGATAAAACCATTTTCTAAGAACTGTAACCTTTTCTTCCTTTTACACTTACAGTTACATCATCTGGGATAAGTAAATAGTCCCCTCTCATGAGCAAAATGGTCCCAATGAGAGCACAACACTATGTGTCCAGATACAGGGACAAAAGCTCATCACCAATAAAAGGCGGAGATTCTACTCCTAGTCTTTCATTCCTGCCCCTCCTGCCAGCTCTGGTATTTTTCTCAGCCCACACAAGCCTGCTTCCACTGAAAAAAGTACACTAAACTATTCCAGGAAAATAAATAAAAACAAATGGGGTTTTGCCTTGCTAGAAAGTTAAACCTGCTCACAAGCAGGTCTGAAGAACAACAAAGGTGATACAAGGAAGGGGTAAACCATATGGCTGCTGTGTTACTTTAGATCATTAATTTCTTCACTGAATTTAATTGCATCAAGACATCAGTTTTAAACACAAACACGCTATAAACACTGAGATAAAACGCATCTCCCAATGCTCCTTCTGCTGCCATTCCCAACCCAGGAGAGACGCTGGCTAAGACAGAACACTCTCTGCATGGGGTAGCAGCCTGATGACACCCAGCTCTTCTCATTTCATCAGCTGTGGGTGTTACTTCTTGTTCTTCCCAGCACCTCTCCAGCAGAGACATAGGTGAAAGTGAGTGGTGTTACACAACGCAACATACATATTTCACAGAGATTTGCAATCAAGGCTCCTTCAGCATCCCAGGAAGGTGTCAACACTAAATCAGCAGCATACATTTCTGGCAGTATTTTTGTTTTATAGCAAGCACACATCCATTTTTCATCCTTCTAACTGAAAATGCAACACACCATGCACATGAATTTGATATCCTACCTGGCAATTTGGAGAGCGAAGATCCCAAAGTCGAATAGTTTTATCCAGGGATCCAGAAATAAAAGTATCATCCACTGGAGACATTGAAAGAGCAACCACTCTGCAACACAGAGACATGCATCAGACACACACAAAAGAAGCGTGTCCTACCCCAGCAGTTGTGTACAAACTCATAATTGCCATGAACAGTTCTACAAAGCGAATACCAGAGTGAATTGAGCATGACATAACTCAAGCCCATTACAATCATTATTTCAGTTTCTCCTGTACTGTCCCCAAACCACATCTTACCTTTTTGTATGCCCCGGGAAATACCGAATGTATTTGTTGTCATGCAGGGAGAGGTATCGGATTGTATCTGAAACCACAAACAAACCATAGGCTTCATTATACCATAAACCCAACGTTATCTAAAAGCAGTCACACACAGCAATCTTGCCACAGTGAGTTAAGTCTGGTCGTTTGATTTCAACTCAGACTTTGAAATACAATCAAGTTAGAAACAGACATAGAGCAGCTTCGTTTCCAAGGCAGAACTGGAAATCAAGCACCAGGAAAGATACTTCCCACAGTCTGAAGTCATATTACATCTTAAAGGCAAACTGTCACGTGATTTATGCAAGTTAATTTCAAAGTTGCTAAAATTTAAGTACCAGTAGTTTTTATTCCATCATTCTCACAAAACTGAGAGTATCACATTTACAAAGTTGATACTGCCAGTTGTTTTTTGCTATATAGCATGAATCTTGCTGTCTTACCTACGTACACATCCAGCAAATAAATCTCCAACTGAACAGTATGCATAGGAAGTGTGCTAATTCTAGCACTTAGCCAAAGGGAAGATAAAAACAGGAACTTCAAAGCCAGGACAAGACCATAAAAAAGTTAAAAAAAAAAATTTGCTAATCTGGCAATGAACTTCACATAATAAATAAGCTTCACATATTCTCTGCACTTAGCACAGCCAAGCTTTAAGAGAACCGGAGTAATCTAAAGCTTAGTCCACTTAAAGCAATCTTAAAAATATATTGAGTAAATCAGAGCAGCACCACAACATTTCTCAAGCGGTAATTTTATTCTGAGTATAGACGAACATACCAAGAGTAGCCCAGAATTTTGAAAGATGCTGTTGAGACTTTCTCCCAAGATTAAAAGAAATCCTTTTAAGAGGAAGCAATTATTAAAGCACAGAAGACACTTTTTAATCTTTATGTGCAGATCCATCTGTGTGATGAAATGTGAAGAGCACAAGTTAAACCTCCAATATCTGAAAGCAGCATCAGCAAAATCCCTTCTCACACTAGTCCAGCTATTGCTGGATGGAAGAGACTGGCATTATGCACCTGCACCATACAGTCCCAAGAGACTCTGTATTGCTGTAACAAGTCCTGCTGAGGCTTCAAAGATAAACTGAGGAAAAAGAATGTTTTTACTTTTGACTCGGAAGAGCCAACAGGATGCAATATGCACGGATAATTTTAACACTCATAAGGGCTACACTCATTATTTCCATTTTTGCCTGAGACTTCACATCAAGCTGAGATCAGAGTTCTAGAACCACCCTCCAGTATTTGACAAGAAAACCTAAAGAAAAGAATGAACCTGGAAACATGATGCTGGTGACACACCGTTTTGAAAGGCTCTAAGTGACCTCAGGTGACTATCCAAAAATATAAATCCCTAACAGCCGTGTCACATCCCATCACAGCTTAGAACTGACATGCTTCAAGAGTGCTGTTAAGATACATCTCTAGTTTTTGCTGCAAGAACTGTCGTTACCTGATTCCTGAAGTATCCATGCAGAATTTCATCTTCCTTTGCTCAAGAGGAAGCACTGGGGAACTGTGATCCTTTTTGCTGGCAGCGCTCTGTCTCAGGCAAGGCAGTGGCCTGTACAGTTATCTCCTGTACCGGGTGGTATCATAGACCCTCAAACTGTACAAACTACTACCTCAGCCTGGGATCAGGCAAGAGGAACTAGGTTCAAAGGTCTTGAAGAAATCTTCAGAAGAGAATCAGTAGCAATTTCCAACACACAAAATGCTTGGGAGCAAGCACCAGCCCCCCTATACCCTCCCAATAACTGCAGTAACAGGTTAAATACAATGCACCTTGCCCAAGGCTGCATGCATTAGGGACTACAGAGTACCTGAACCCCTACAGAACACACTCCTGGTTTACAGTTCATAACAGCAACAAATGCTTTCACATTCTATCTTCTTCTTTTCTTCTAATTAAGTATTTATCATAATGCTACCCTGCAGGATGAAGACTCTTAAATTTTCATTCCTCAAAGACTCACAAGTGCTTATAAACAAAAACTCACAACTCAAACAGCATTAAAAACGGTTCACTAAAATTGTTAATTAATTGCGAATTAAATAACAGCCAAGTCAGAAGTGTGACATAACAAAGTAATAACAACTAAAAAAAAGTAGGCTGTGAAACAGACTAAAAAGGCAAGTGCTTCATGTCACACTTTTAATCCTTTTACAGCATTAAATCCCATTCCGTTGGAAACTTCCTTGTTCCTGTAGTTTCAGGCCCAGCTTGTTCTAGTTTAACCTGACTTCCTAACTCTGCTCTAAATTTATACTCTTAAATTCCTCAAGTAACCTAGCACACACCACAAGGCACCAGTATCTCTGTCAAGCTCCATCTCTGCAAAGGAAAAACCAAAACAAAAGCACTATTCCAGAAATTACTATGAGTTTACAAATACAATGTTAAATCCCATTTATAAAGTGCTATGCTAAGAAACCTATTCACTGAAAAACTCTCAGACACTGACTACAACAAACAAAATTGAGACAAAATTTTACATTAACACTAGCTACTTCCAACCTTGGGAAGTATTGTCTGATAGAAGAATTAATGTACCTATCTGTGTCAGTTCTTAAATTTGAAATTAAACTCAAGTACATTAATAGAGCACCTGTCATGAAGCTCTAGAAGCCCCTCAATGTCACCGATTTACAGAGCATAGCTATCACAGACACTGGCTGTAGAGAAATGGCATGAAAGTGGGGGTTTTTTTGCCTATTGCACGGAAAAAAACAGATTAAGAGAAGCAAAGCTAGTCTCAGCTCTGTGACCTCCTCCAGGCTTGGCTGGTGATCTGCTGAGTTACCTGAACTTCCTGCCCTCCCTGCTGCATATGGAGAATGGAAAAAACACTCTCCTCCTTTGCAGTGGACCTGTGTGCATATCAGACAGAGCTATAGCATTTAGCCCACCTTCTGGCCACACACTCCCTCTGCCTCATTTCACGCTAAGAAATGAAGGCACAGAGGCTGTCAGCACTGGTATCATACAGCAAAGTGAACAGCAACATCAAGAACCAAACTTTTATCGCACAAACAATGTTTGTAATCCCTTAGTTATTGCAGCAACGAACAAAACGCAAGTCAGCACACTCAAGGGAGTATCACCAAGTTGTGCATTGGAGTTGAACATTAATTCCTCTGCCTCTGATAGCGCATTTATCACTGAAAATTTGCAATATTTTTCCCCAGCTCTTCAGACCTATTTATCCAGGCATGTAGTTTTAAGTTTAAGGAGATAAATATGCTCAACTCCAGTGGACCACTTACCATCTATTTTGTTGGAGCTGTACACAACAGTGTTGGCAGCATGTGTGTATCTGATGAGGTCCACCCCATACTTCTTACTGTACAGCGTTCTCTTTGGTCTGTCAGAAGGAAGAAGAAATAATCGCACTCACTGCAACAAAAAGCTCAAACTGAAACTCGCCACATTAACAAGGCCTGTTCTCATAGAGATATTACAAGATTGTTTCAAGTAGATATTTTTATCCAAAGAAAGAAAAGCATTTGTATTTGATTTTCAAACAAGCACCGTGGTGCTTTCTCCAAGACCATCCCTTGAGGAGGGATGAGGCTTGAGGAGCTCCCTAGAACACCTGCAAAACGCACATATTTGTCTCCTCCAAAATTTTTTTCCACATGTCTACTGTAAAAAGAATACAAGCAGGTAGCATAACAAGCCCTTACGGTCAAGCAGCACTGCCTCATCCTTCGCTTGCCCATCCAAATCTCTAATTCACCTGCTGCTTATTTTAGATGGAGAATAATTTGTCTTTTTGTTCTATGATACTTCAAAAGCTAGAACAGGGTGTCTCATTCAGAATAGGGCTTCTCTGTATTAACACAACTACGTATATATACCGGTAGTCTAAAAAACTAGACTGGCTTATGGTAACACAGGGACTCTCAAACTATTGGAGAATTATATCCGATCTTAATTAAAGCACAAAACTCAAACGTAACATTTTGCAACAGAATTAAAGATATTCTAGTGAGAGTGAAGACAACATACAGAACTGGATTTTTAGGGATCCAGTAAGTAAGCGATGTACTGTGGTAGAAATTTAAACTGCAAAGTAAATGTAGAAGTAGTTGGTTAATAAGCGTAGCTCACAGCAGCAGCGCCTGTTCAAGCAGTGCAAGGTGTCCTCCACTCTCCTTCCCCTTTCTTTCTCAGCTGAGGTAGCACAGTGTTTTCAAAGCTGGGCAATCAACCAACAGGGGAACCGATCAACATCAGAAATAATACCGTCTCTTCCGGGAGTTATTTTTAATCCAGAAATTCATAACTCTGGTTATCACACAGGCCCACAAAATACTTTACCAACACAAATCAAGGACAACAGCATGGGAATGAAAACAAACAGCAGGAGTGGTTTAAACAAATACTGCTGCCAAAAGAAAAGTTTATCAGACTACACTCTCAGACAAGGTATTTCTAAATTCCTCCAACTTTTTCCTTGTTTACATTAGCCTCAAATTGATACACCCAAACAAGAGCATGAGTTGGAGACTTTTCATATCAGAACAAAAATAGACATTAATTCTTAAAGATTAATTCTCAAACAGCAGAAGCTATAGGGCTTTGACTTCAAAGAAACTTGGTGGGGACAAGCTTCCATTAACTGAAAGTCAATACTGCAAATGTAATTAAAACCCATATACCACCTGTACCACTTAGACCAAATCTCACAGATTCTTCCTCAGTTCCTCCAGTAGACTTAGATCAGTTTTTCAGACACAAACATGCCACAAATTGAAAACAGCACATACAAATATGTGCTTTAAAATATCAAATGTAAATTTAGACAACAAAATTCTGTAACATTATGTTCAGTATACTTCCCCATACTGCCCTCTGTAGTTACCTCAGCTATGCTGCTGATCAAATTGGGAAGAGAAAAAAACACACTAAAAAACAAAAAACACAAAACATACGAAGGCTCTCATGCCTAGTCTGGCTCTTCCTTATCTATGAAAAGTTTAAAGCTTAGAAGTTCTACTCAGAATGAAAGAATATACACAAAATAATATATACAGAGACAATAAAGATCGACAGATGGACAAAAGTACATTTACCAAAAAGAAGGAAAGTACTTCTGTGTTTTAAGAAAGGTGAAGTTTTCATGTAAGTTGATACAAGCAGAAGCATGTCACTTCACACAAGACTGACCGCCTGTTCCCAATTGACTATTTAAAAAAAAAAAGAAAACTAAGTTTTACATATTTTTTTAAACAAATCACAATCACTAAACATAATTCCGAGTTTAAGGTTAGTCTATCCAGCCCACTTATAAATCAAGTAATATTGCCAAAGTAAAGTGGTTTATGAGGTAACAGTCAAATCTGCTATAAAGATGAAACAAAATACAGGCAAGGTTTTTAACAGTATCTGTGCCTTGCTTTGAATCACTACTACTGCAGGTAAAACCATCACCCAAAACCAAGCTCACTGATACGTCTAGTGAACACCATGGCTAAGCTGGAGTCCAGATCCAGCACCTCTATTTGTATAAATAATACACAATTGATATATACTAAAATACAAACTAAATCTTTGCTAGACCACCATTATATCATACCAGGGTTGCAAATATGCAGCCATGAGGCCCTGCCCTCAAGGACAGCTGTGCATCACAACACACAATACTGTTCTGAAAGCTTCCAGAGTTCCTTCCTAAGACACAGGTAAGCCTCTTGGTTATGCTTTTGAGCTAAACTATTGTGGAGGTATTTGGTGATGCAGAATGGATTAAAAAAAAAAAAAAATCACAATTTAGTTGTTTACACATTTTGAAATAGAAGTGGAATCTCGGGTCCAAAATTTTTGATGCTCATGAAAAAGCCAGACAAATTTTTCAAGTTTGTTGCCTATGGTCAGAATAGACATAAGAGAATCTTATGTACTTCAAGGAGATAATCTTGTCCTGTCAGCTCTTGGCTCACTCTTTAAACTGTCTTGACACTTTCAGAAACTGAAGTTCAGAGATGGGGCTTGATCATACCAGTAGCAACTCTCACAGATATATGGCTCATTTTTGTATGGCAAAACAAAGCGAACTAGGTAAGGGTGCATAACCAAACACAGTTGTATTTTTAATTCTACGACTAGAACACCTCATAACAAGGGGAAAAAAAACCCTACCAAATTTTTTCACTTTCACATGTGGAAAAGTTTTAACATTCAGGCCATGTGATGAAGTAGGGTATCTTATACTGAAACCCAGCAAGCAGGACCATTATATTCATTAGCAATGACATACACAAGAAGGTGAGAGTTCCAGGCCCATGAAATGGTGGTTTAAGAAAAAAACCACAAAAACTACAGGCCTGAAACTGCCCAATTCCACCACGTCACAACAACAATCATTCACAGATTTGATTTTTCATCTCCACATGAATCTCCTGTGACAAGGTAATTCACAACTAAAATTTTCCAGGAGAGAGAAAGTGTGTCCTGCATTCCTAAGTACATCTAAAAAAAAAAAAATTCACACTTACACTTTTAAACCAATTGATAGTAAATGATAAACTTTCAAATTCATTTTATAACCATTAGAGAAATGCATCCTGAAACGGGGGTTACCTTGACGAAACTGCTCTCATTGCCTTATAGTACTACCATAGATGATCATCAATCTTTTACATTTAACTTAATTCAAGCAAACCCTTTGACTGTAAAGCATACATCAGGACTAGATGGAGATGGGGATGAAAGGACCAAATGCCTCCCAATCCATCAAACTATTACTTCCAAGTCTGAAAGGGGAAGAACAATCAATACCATCTACTTTAACATCACTCAGCCCTTCTAATATTGTATATAATTAGGATCTATAATGCAACCGATGGCAGACACCATATGTATAAAGTCACTCGAATAAAAATTAATTAATTTCAAATGAGAGTTCACTGTATCAGATGGGGAACAGCAACAGCAACAGAACTTTTGCAAACTAAGCAGAAGTGTAAAATAACATAGAATAAGTGGTCTACAAAATTAAGAAAATATGCAGGATGCAATCTTTCAAACTCAGAAAGTATGATAGCTTGGTCAGCTTGAAAAAGGAAGATGAGGAATATCTGGTTTACTAGAAAATATACGCAACACTGACACATCTACCTCCTGGTGCTCCCAAACCCTTTCTTTTTCACTCCTGCATTACCCTGCCCTTTTTATTCTCTCTCCTACAATACACATGCTCGGGTTTTTTTCACTTTCTATATGTATATGATGCTTTCTAGTCTTGACGTTACAAAAAAAAAAACCCCAAACAAAACCAAACAAACCCTCAGAATTACATCTCTACACCAAGCACATGAAAATTAAAACTTAACATTTAAAAGAATTTAAAGCAGCCAAATGCATGCTTGTAGCAATTGAGAAAGTTTTTAATGGCATAGTGACATCATTTGGCTCAATTTGTTCCAACTCTCATAGAATACAAATGCCTTTTGTGTACGTTCCAAGACATAAACTGCAAGTGTTACTGGTCCTTTGCACTTTTTTATCCTCCCAACAAGAGGACCCTATCTGAAGCGTTGTGTAAATTTCTAAGGTTTTATCCATAGCACAGGACAAGCATCATGTGATCAATGAAAGAAGATAAACTGGACAACTCTGTTCAGTGAGAAACACACAGAGCTTAATTCACTAACCTCTAGCAGCAGAAATCAATAAACACATTGGTTGATTAAACATAAATTAAGACAACGTTTGAAGGCACATGTAAATCACAAATGTATTTTAACTGTGCTTTACAGATAAAAACGCAACTAGAGAAAAGGATTTAAAGCACAGAGGACTACCTTTATCGGCAACGTTCACAGATATCACTTAGGAACGAAGTTTTAAGGAGAACACCATCAAGTTTTTAGAAGTCATAGTAAACACATACCACACCATCTTCACCTTTTGGCTTAAAGCATTTATCCAGGAAATTACACTCACATTAGGTTGTTTAAAACAGCAGATCTGTACACTGCTCACAGCAATTGCTTCTATTCTAATTAGTAAGACTTAAACCAAGAAAAGCCTGAGAAGTCAGTTTGTGTATCTGTAACAATCCCGAGCCCTGGAAATGTGATGAGACTCAAGCCCTTAAGCTTAACAACTATTTAGTTCTCACAGCAATGAACTCTCTCACACCTGGGAAGTTACCATCGCTGACTCCAGCCTATCAGAAATAACAAACGGAGACACCCGTAGTGCAGATAAAAACATGCTGCTCCCATCTCTGCGCCCCACTTTAACCGTTTATAATCCCCCCCGGCAAGACATCGTTCCAGTTCCACTGACAAGGCCTACACCGAAAAATAACAAAAGAAAACCTAAAGCTTACC